CGCTTGCAATAACAGCATCGCTATCATAATTATCATTTTAGCAAATAGTCTAGATTTTGTCTAGATTGAGAATGCATTCTTTGCTCCAGATGTGAATTAAACCGCCAATTCCAGGTAACCGACCAATGGCTAGTTTTGTATCTGAAAGTTGTGCCAGCGCCATTGGGCGGATATTGATTGGATTCGCGTCGCTGATGCTTCCCACGATAGTATATAAGCACTGAAAATGAAATATTTTGTTAAAGTTCTTGTTTTTCCATATTCAACACGTCTGCTCCTACCTGCAAATAAAAGCTTATAAAAAATGTCCTTCGAATCTCAACGTACTCGAATCTACAAATATAAATATATTATACAAATAAGTCATGCAAAGCTCGTGATATATTGTATTGCGTGCAAGACTTCTTTTCAAAAAGCAGGTAGTGTTCTGTCAGGACTAGTCTATGTTGATGGTTGTAGAAGCGTTACCAGTAAATAGTCAGTAAATCTCTAAGCTCATTCATTCTAATTGCTCTACGTTTGTGTCATGAAAAGATGAATTGGGGTCATTTCACAGGCGGCCGAATAAAAATTCAACAGCGCAGCTGTCTAAGTTGCCTACTAAGGTATTGTGCTATATGCGTTTACTGTCAATAGTACCTCAGAACAATCGCAGAACAAAGTCAGTATCAAGTCGGCGGGCGATTCAGATGAATCCTGTCAGCTGTTTTAGATGTACCAGATGCTCCATAAGGTGGAAAGTCAAATGATCCAAGAGGACAATGGCATTAAAGAAATCTAATTTTAGAAGAAGTTTGCCAAATGAGTAAATGAAAGAATGGTTTTCCAATTTATACCAGCAAAACGCGTCAAAATCGCATGCAAATCGAAAGTAAATATATGGCATGCGCATTAGTTATAAATACCTTGTGAATCTGAAATAAAACGTTACTATAAATAGTTAAAATGTGACCCAAGAACCTCGTTTTCAAACTATATGTGCAAACTATCACGCCTGAGGGTTGAATATAGACCTACCCAATTCAAGAACCAATCTTGGAAAACGCCAAAAGAAACTCAAAATCGCGAGATGAAACTCAAAGTTCGAAAAACTACTATCTAATCAAAAACTCAGACCAAACCCAACAAAGCAAAAATCAAATGAGATGAGAAATTATATATTAGTGAAAGAATTAGCTGCAAGGAGAAGTTTCATTAGTTCAATGTTATACAATTATGACCAAATATTTCTGATGAACATTTCTGTAGCAATTTAAAATGTTTTTGTTAATGCTGATAAATCTTTACATGTATCAAAATTAATTGTTCTGCTTTTTAAATATAATTTTCCGACATTTCTTCCAGGCATATTTCAAAAAAAACATTTGAGATCAAAAGAAGAAAACCGACTTATTTCTCTTTAAGCAGTCCTTATTGGAATTTCAATTTTTTTTTCAAGAAACGAACCGCACTATCGTAGTGATAGGATCCGCGTCGCGTCTTACCAGGAGGCAACCAAACATGGTGTAGGACATGGTTCCGCATCACGCCAAGTGACATGGTCCTATCTAACATTCATTCAACCCATGAAAATCAGCAAATGAACGCGCAGGATATTTCAGAAAGTGGTTATTTGCAATATGCCAGTGGAAAGAAACACCGGAAGTAGTAATAAGAATGTGAACATACCATCTAAGAAGACTTCCTGCTCAGACGGTTTCCTGATAATCACTTGTGGAGTCCCCACCTCATACTTCAGATCCGGTCGGAATCCGATATCATCTATATTATGATTATACTTGAACTTTTCATCTAAACTGTACAATGCTTCGTCGAAGGGCATGCTCCTGGTATTCGGGATCATGGGGGCAACAGGTGCCATGGGCACAAATTGGGCTTCCGGGACTAAAGTCGGTGTGTTGAACTTCTGACTCGTAGCTAAATTCTTAATAAGATCCCATTTATTTTTAGGTTGTTGAGTCTTTTTCTTATATTTGGATGGCCTAGAAAATATGTTTCTGAGTCGCTTTGGAAGCTTCTTCTTGAAGATAGAGTTTGGTGTGTCCCAAGGCATAGTGAAAGGACTTTCTGTCGTGTGGAAGACGTACTGGTAGACCTTTTCTTTGCCTTTCTTGATAATAATGTCGCCTTCGTCAATCGTCTTGGTCGACGTTGGTGTGGTCGTCTTCGGACTCCTGGTCATCAATCCGTATATTACTTGTGGTGGTTTAGTTTTGGAGATCGCATTTTCACGGGGAATCTTCAAAAGACCATATCTTGGATCATGGTTGATCGGATGCCTAATTTCAGTGTAAGCGAATTTGTTTAATGGATTTGTAAAAGGATGGTACTCCTGCTTCTTGGGTTGAGTCTCTTTGGAGATCTTTCCCAAATCGAAATCTTTAAGCCCAGGGAGTAGTTCATTGGTTAATTCCAGGCCGGGAATGTCTCGGAATTGAGGTGCCGGTTTGGTTGGAAGCGGTGTGGTCGGTGCCCGGCTCATAGACTCTAACAAGTACCAGTCTGTGTAGTTATATTTTAGGAATGTAGCATTGTTGAAATAGGTATAACCGAACGTAGTGTTGGCTGTTGTCTTTGGTGTCAATGTTGAATTGGTGATAAATGTCGAAGTACCCGCTGTGGCGTTCTGTGTCCTTTGCAATATCTCTATAGGTATGGTTATGGTCGTTGTACCATTGACTGTGGTCAGTTTGGTTGAGGATGTGATGCTAGCAGTGGGGCGCTCTGCAAGACGCCAGTTTGGTAGTGTTTGTCTTGGGTTTTTGAAAGGTGAAGTTGATCTTCCAGTGGTTACCTCGTAAGGTTTTCTCGATGTTAGTTTCTTTATTTTGTTGGTGGTGGCCTTATGTCGACGTAAGGTTATATAGTTATTTCTTTTCTCGGTTGTTTTCTTCAATACTACTTCCGAATAAACGGGAGTTGTTGTCTTAAAGATGTGTGTCTTTCTCGTCGACCATTTTTTCTTGTTCATTTTAAATTTGTTTTGGAGGTTGGTAAATATGCCCGAGACTGGCCTGTTTGTGACTTGAGTTTCTTTAGACACATTGTGATCCTTCATTGTCTCTGCATTGGGTTCCTCCGAGGGTGTTGCTTGCATGCTAGTGGAAGTCTTACGTAATGTGGCGTTCTTCCTAGTCGATCGGGAAGTTGGTGTGCTGTCGACGTTCCACCAAGGAGGTAACATTGTCGCACCAGTTGCTCCGGATGTTCCCTCTTGATCATCGCCCACCTTCCAATAATCAGATTCCAATTCGCCGATGTTAGCCATGTCATGGCTTGTGATATTGATATTGTTCTTCGCCTTTGCTAATCTGGCTCTTTCAGCTTCTTGACGGTTCTGGTATTCCCTTCGTGAAAATGGCGACTGTTTCAGCGTTTTGTCATATCTAGATGAGACAAGTTTCTCAGTGGTTGTTTCCTTGGGTTCTTCAGTCGTAACGTCTATATTGTATAGGCTCACTTCAAACGGTTTTGGCTTGACTATTCTCGTCGACATATGCATTCTTGGTTTATGTGTGCCCTTCCTCTTGTTAGATTTGGTAATCACAGATTGCGTTATCTTAATCTGTCCGTTGGTGGTTCTTTGTCGCGGTGTAGTATCAGGTTTCTTTGTTGTTTTCAATAGTGGACGTGGAGATTTAGTGGTTGTCGGGGCTCTCTCAGTCGTCTTTGGTCCAGGGCTGGTCGGAAGTTGATCTTGCTTCTTCAGCGTCCATATAATATTTTTTGTATGAATAAACGGGAACTTAACATCAGACTTAAGAATTCGTGGTTTACGTGTTTGGAATCGGAATTTGTTTCTGTATTTCTTAAAGATCTTTTTCAGCGGTTTAGTTTTCTTGGTTGTTGGTATAGTAGTAGGAAGACTGGTAGGATTGGGAGTGAGGTCTTTGGACGGAGTTGACGATTCAATATAAGCTAGTAGTTCTTTGTCGATTGTGGCTGGTGCATCTGTTTTTCTAGTCGTGGTAGTAGTCCTTGAAGCTGTTGTTGGAGGAGTAGAAGATCTTGTCGGAGGTAGCGATCCTTCGACCTTTGGCCAAGGATAAGCTACAGTGGTAATGGTTGTTGGCTCAGTGGAAGATTCTGTTCGTGCTCCGAAATGAATATCCTTATATGACTTTGTTGCCTTTTCAGTTGTACTTTCTCCCTTATATGTCTTGGACTTCTTATGTGCTTTAGTAGTCTTGAAAGACAGAGTCGTTTTTCTGGTGTCCCACAAGGAAATACTGGCTGGTTCTATTGTTATTTTGGATTTTGTCGTCGTTCGTTTAATCTGTGGTGGTTTTGTGGTTTTTGTCGTTGTTTTTGGACGAGTTGTCGGACGCACTTTTCTAGTAGTGGTCGTGATTGGTATTGTTGTGGGCTTTGGAGTAGTGGACTTTGTTGACTTGACTGGAGACCTGGTTGATGTCGTCCTCCTACGAGAATCCTTGACCATTGAATCGCCTCGAGTGGGTTTTCGAACTGCCTTAATCTTAAAGATAGTCGGCTCGGAAGATTTGGCTAAGAATAGATTAGCCGTTGTGGTTTCCGTTTGTGGAATCATTGGCGTCGTTCTGAGGACAGGTCTCTTCCTGTCGTGAACCGTATGAACCAATATGGACGGATGTGTTACTATGGCACCTCGTGATGGACCTTTGAAGGTGGCAGATGACACGTCTTTGCCCTTGACCTTGTCTTCATGTTTGTAAGGTTTCGTCTTCTGTGGTTTTCTAGTTGGTTTCTTTCTCAGAATTCGTGGTCTCTGTCGTTGTTTTGGTCGCCTCTGGAAGAATGAATTAATCTCATCTTTATTACATAAATGGTGGGGCAACAAGAAATATATCTATTTAGCAGTAGCTAGAAAAAATAGTAGATAAAGAACAGCAGAGTAAATGCGCCTTTTCAAATGGTTTAAAGACAGTGAGTTGTGTCCCATAATTAACCTGCCTAGTGGTTTTCAGGCGATCAGCAAATTTACCGGAACTGATATGAACACCTCAATATTGGTGCTTATTTCAACTTACCGTCTCAGGGTTTGGAGGAGCCACAAATTCGGGGAATTCCATGTCGCCTTCTAAAGTGGACCTGATTTTTCTGCTTAATGGATACACGTCACCTTCCATGGCACCGAAATCATCTAAATCGACAGCCCACATCATAGCACCTGCTAGTTTATTAGTCTTGATGTACTCGGCCTGGAGAAGAATATGAAACGTTTGGGTAAAAGTTGATGTTCTTAGTCTTAGCTATTTAGTCTAATAAGATCAAATATTGAAATCCGAACAAATGGTAGTGGAATATCTCGGTAACTTCTGCAAGTTGATACGGTGTCGACTACCACACCCTATCATCTGTTCTAAACTTGCTGTCCAGTTGAAGATTTTTATATGACTGGCGTTTCACGCTAGTGAGATGAGTTATACCGATTCTTCAGAAACATATTAGGATAATATGCTACCAAGTCTGTTAACTTTGAGTGCCTTTTAGAGAGTTAAATTATTAGTTCATTAATTTTAAGATGCATTTGAGTTAACGGCTGATTTGGAATACGGACCATGACAATAATTTGCAATTTCATACTTAGTAATTTCAAGCACTTTTTGCCTCACCTTTAACCCTACACTTCGCTCATCATCATAACCAATCCATTGTTTCTCCTGGACATTAAAGGCAACTGGAACTTGTTGATCATCCAGCCATTTTCTTGTATATCCAGATTTCAACTTGCCCATTATCTGAGAAAAGATAAAAATTTGTATACTCGATAATAAATCCCAATAATGAGGAATTCGTCATCTACAGTTTGCTACAAGATAACTCATTTGGGATATTTCGATTGAAACTGGAAAGCCCTTCTTATCCTTATTTCCATTTCTCTGTTGAACCCTAAAAACCACCGTAAATTGGTATAATACTGAAAGCCACCCTTCCCTATCATCATTCCTGACCCCTAATGACCATTTGAAAACTGTCACATGGTGCCGTAACTCGCAATATGACATCACTCCTATATTACAGGACACCCCTCGCCTAACAAATTGTTGACCTCTGAACACATGATACCATACCTCATAATACGCCATGAAGCCCTTCTCTCTGGTATAAGGACCAGGTTTGCCAACTCCACAATTCTTATCGCCGATGTTGATCTTATCAGCACCACAGATTGTGAAGGATCGACCATACAGAGGTATTCCCATGACGAGTTTAGATGGATCAGCTCCTAGATCTAACCATAGTTGTACCACACCATCCTGTAGATAAATCATTGTTGATTCAAACAGTAAAATATATAAAAAAAAAAAAAAAACAACCGCAAAGGCAATAGCCCGTTCTTTCAACTCTTTTGCAGCTCAGATTTTTGCAATGCATCGCGATTTGGACATTTAGACGAACATCTAAAGGTTTTACGATGAAATTGGTAGCGAGTTTGATTGTCGTAGACGCTGGGCGATAAATTGCCGTTGGTTTGAATTCTGGTCTAACCTGATGCCGCGGTCTATCAACTATTCTATTTCGTACTTTGAAAAATATTTTGTTATCTTCCAAATGTTTAATTTACCACTATCAATAATAGTGACCGTTTAAATGCTCGTCCTGAATAAAACAACAAGACTTACCACACTATCCGAAGGATGTTCTTTCTCGTCCAGATCCTGTGGAGGATACAGACCAGCGTTAGTACCCAGAGTTTTACTCCAGCCACCAAATAAATCATAGCTCATCAGGTTGATAAAGTCAAGATGTCTGCAATAGAAACATATTGGAAATTGATTATAAGGGGAACTCTTTTCGAAGTAACTACGCAGTAGCAACAGAACATTTAAAGAAGCAAGTGTATACCGAAGACACACTTTTGTGACAATACGCATACCGATTCAACGGTACCAGAAATTGGAAAACGAACTATCTAGACAACAACCATACCACACTTCTCTATGGAGGTCATATTGGAAAATGGTAGTCTGACCTACTTCCAGATCTTGAACATAAAACGAATTACTGTGTCGATTTGTCAAGCAAACATATTCGTTTAAAGAGTATCAATGGAATACGAAACTTACTTTGAAATCTGTGGTACTTCATAAGCTGATAGGACAATTTTCTTCCCGCCTCCGACAGCAGCCGTCAATAGTAGCTTCTCTTTTCCAGTCATTTCTGATTCATGTTTAAACGCAGATTCCAATTCCTGAAACAACAGATCATATATTTGTAGAAGTTGCGCATATATATAGTGCTTCTGCAATTCAGCAATAGCAGGAAATCTGTGACACTATGGTTGAATGCTGGTTAATGAACCCATTTCAGTCTGGGTAATCATTCATTCCAACCGAACTATTTGTTGTTTTTACATGTAAAATGGATATCATACCTAACATCATGGTTGGCAATCGAGTCTCTTGTCCTGTTGTATAATTCCGTATGAACGAAAATGCCTAGTTATTAGAGGGTGGCAGAGGCCTGAGAAGTTAATTTGGTGTCACCAACTTCCGGAGCTGTTCTTAGACAAACAACTACGGCAATACGAGCTGATAGCCCATGTTTACGACCTGGCGTTAAGAGGTAGATGAGTGCATGTTCCTTACCTGACATAAAACTGAGAATTTGTGTTTATCTGATTTCGGGCTTCCACGATTTGCTGGGTATTCCCAATCCAGATCCAAACCATCAAAATTATGAGTCCTCAGATATTGAACAGCATGATCAATGAAAGATTGTCTGCCATCGTCGGTAGTGACCATCTCGGTGAAAGGTTTCGATCCATGAGTCCAGCCTCCGACCGCTAACAATGTCCGTAATTTGGGATTCTTCTTCTTCAAAGCGTTGAATTGTCGGTACATATCTGAAAATAGTTGTAGAAGACTATTCAGTTGACCGAGCTGTAAATGATTATTGGTCATCAGAAGGTTAACCTGAGAGGGATAGATTAGGTCAACTGGTAAACAGGTTTCTGAGGATGTTTTTCGATGATGCCAATAGTACATATGACTTAATATTGCACGCTAATTCTCTTCTTCCGTCTCGGGATAAAAAACGTTGATTGAACATGGATTTATTGGAAACCATATTACAACTTTTCCGGTTTTTAGAAATGCAATTTTCGCTTACGAATCTGTTAACAAGTACAGTTTTATCAAAATATCCCTTTTTTAAAAAACAAATTTGAGAAACTTACGTGGATATTGGATATCATTCCATTCATAAGGTGCGAGATGGCCATTATAGTCTATTTTACTAAAGGAGAAGATAAGATGGGTACACAGGAACGGGTCGATGTTGAAGGGTAGAAATCGTCCTGGTTGTTTTCGGTACTGGGACCAATTCGTGTAGTAACATACTCGTAAATATTTAGAATCTGAAATAGAAGTTGGATGGTTTATAATACTATTATTTTTAGTACAGTGTTGACCAAGTCTGGATTTTGTACACGTCTTTCGTCAACCTATAGCATTAAGCGATTAAGCTTTTTTAATCCTTTATTGAATTGGAGCTTCGCTTTTCTTTAACAAATGATACCACAACGTAGCCGACCTTTGATCTACTGTTCTTTCTGCCTAAAATGTCAATCACGACAATGAATACTCACACCATACAATTTCGAAAATATTTTTAAGAAAGTTCAAAATGAGTAGTAAATTCTTTATTAATGATTAGAATGAAATAGAAATTATATTAAAATAATTGTTTGACGGGCAATTTTGGAAGTCGTTCTTGAAATGATACCAATCAAATTCGTCGGCATGATCAAATATTTCAGAGTTAGTCTTGAAAAAGTCAGGTATGTTTGGAGAAAGGACAAATTTTGGTTGTTGTTTTTGACATAATTACACATAATTGCGACTTTAAAAAAGGGATTGTTTTCAGAGACGAATTGAGATTGGACCTGTTGATCAACTCAACGGAGTTTTAACAGAGAATCTCCCACGTCAATATTTATAGTCAGTGAATCTAACGATTTTAGTCTGGGCTTCACATGCTGGTGAAATACCAATCGCAACTAGAGGTTCGGCTGGATTCTATCGTCTGTTTAAAGTCGCCATTGATTAAATTGTTTTGTTGTGCTGTACGTGGATGTCGATATCAAGACAACACGTTGGTTTGTTTTATCAAACTTGTCCTGTCCAAACTATTGTATATGTTCTGTAGACAAACGTAAGGCTTGTTGATATAAAAAATGACCACTTGCTGACGTGATCTTTACCTGATATATAAATATATTTTGTGTGGACTTTTTCTTTATTTGTCGTTATCAGACGAAGTTATGTAATTGCACTTTTAAAATTTAAACTGTCGGAAAAAATGACTTGTATTTAGATTAATGGCACATATGTGTCCAAACACTGCATTTTTAAAATAATCAGCACTACCTTATCATCCCCATGGTACATTTTCTATCTTGTAACCGAATCTATTCCCTTTGTTTTCTCTCTTTTTTCAGTTATTTGCCGTCCTCTATCGCGAACGGCTTTGTAAATTGCACTTTTAAGTTTTAAATTCATTTCTTTCAGCCTCTCTAAATTTACAATCCGCATTTAGGAACTATTCTTTATATTTGTGTTATGTTAACGTTAAATAATTTCACATTTTTACTCTCTGCTTTCTGTTCTTCTGTTCTTCAATATTTGCTGTCCACATTTAGACCCAAATCACATTTTTATTACAAATATTTTGCGTCTTTAAAATCTATGTAATTTCAATTTTGAATTTCAATCCTTTCAATATTTGTGAACCACATTTTGTTATTTGTAACACGACTTTCCCAGACGATATTTTATATGCATACTCGCATCTTTATTTTGTTCATGACATTGCATTGCTGTCGGCATTTTTGCTATTTACTGCATTCCTTTCCTGGAAATTTTTTTATTATCCTTAAATTTTTGGTGTGCATTGCTATTCGTTATGTTAGCGATAAAAATATGCTGTATACGTTTTCTACATTTATTCAATGCCTTATAAAGTCAATTTATAAATTTGACCTCGATTCCCAAACCTTTGACGTCATTGTTTAACAGTATTATTAATACTAGAATGCCTATGAAATGCCAAGACGAAAGTTTATGCAGAGAAGTTAAGATATGCTGAAATTGGCGTCATGCAAGGTTGTCTATTCAGTCTATTCTTCTTTCTATTATGAGCTGATAACCTTGGGTTGGCGTAACCTTTCCAGACCAAATTTATTGTAAACTGACATGGTATTAAGCAAGGGTGTGTATTATGTCCCTCTTTGTTTTAAATGTGCTAAAATGAAAATCAGTCCATCTTTTACTCTTTTGAAAGAATGAAGAAAACCATATCAGATTTTTACTTTCTCAAGACCTTTTCTTCTTAAAATGGGCAAAATTGTGACTTAGAATGCATGAAAATATGCCGATAACTGGAAAGCTTCAGACCGAGATACCCAGCATTTAGAAAGAGAATGCTTTTTATTTGCTTATATTTCTAGGACGAGAAAATATCGAGTACGAGCGCAATTAAATTGTATCGCAGAAAGTGGAAGCTCCAAATTCCCTCCTCCACCAACCCCTCAGGTCAATATCTGTAGTCACTAGTCAGTAAATTTAACGATTTTGGTCTCAGTTTCACGTGCTGGCGAAATACAAATCACAATTAGTGGTTAGGATAGATGTTATCGTCAGCATCCGGAGACTCCCGAATATCTAAGAGTACTTACCTGGTATTATGGGTTTAGATTTCTCGGACGAGAGTTTTGATATACTGGCACCAGTGGTTACAGTGATATATACAGTTAATACTGTTATTATAGATACTAGTCTTTCTTTCATCACCTAAAATAAAAAACATTACAGTTAGATTTTCAAATCGTTTGAATTCTTAATGAAACTGTTGAAAGACGAAAGATCTGGTATGAAGATCTGTTTAGTGTTTCCTTCATGTATAATACTAGTACAATTGAGACTTCAACAAATTTTTTCCTCAGGAGTGCATCTGTTCAAAATATTATCGAATTATTCGGATCAGAGTTAAATTTTGTGGTGTCTGAGGCTCAGAGAGGCATTGGGATTGGGGTTCCAAGGGGTCTTAATCGAACGATAAATAACAGCGAAAATACGAAAATATATTGCAATTTACTCTCGAAGATGAAAGAGGTCAAATAAGCATTACGATGTTCAACAGTGAATATTCTTCAGAAATATGGGATTGTGAGAAAAGAACGACGGAGAAAACTTATTGACCTCTATTTCAAGGTTAATACAAGTTTGTATTATTTAAATCATTTCAGAGAGACAGAGGAGTGTCAATGGCGATGATACGCGAGAATGTGCTGATCGATTTTTAAAATCGATTTTGAAGTTGAATAAATACGGGATTAGAAGAGCGAGTAAATACAAGTATAAGATTTACATTTTGCACTGCCATGTTATAACAATACGAGAAACAGGTGCACGTAACTCTTTGGCCCATCGTCTCAATATTTAACGCCTTTTCGTGGCAGGTATTGCTAGCGAAAAAAGGGGTGTTACATGTGAAATACCATGGGTTAATCTATCAGATGCGGCGCATGGTACCATATCATTTATATAGGAACTAATCGTGGCCGGAACCTTGTGTATTCTTTTCTTATATTTTCTACTTGTCGATAATCTCCTACGGCATACCTCATCTTAAAACCATGATATCAACCTTAATAGGATTCTGACAGCTCTAAATTTCCTTCGCTATGAATTTGATAAGCATATCAGACAACACCACCCAAAGACAGTAGAATGGGCATATTGGTGCAAGCGTCTCAACTACATTTCCTTTTGGCAGAATTCACGGTTTTGTCGTCTTCAGCCCAGTAGGGGGTGTGACAGAAAATCTTCAAGGGGCTGTAAAGAGGATTTCTGACTTATTTGTTTATTCGTATCGGGATCATTTATTTATATTAATGCATGCTATTGCAAACCCTTTACCTTTCCTTTAAAACTTCAGTCTGTTTCATTCACTTGATCTTGATGTAAATGGCAATGAAACATATGAAATATACTTCATTTGTCTCTACACACCTGAACATTCATTGACACAATGCCAAATAAAAATATGTCGTTAAGTCGGCAACTTGTTGGGTTAATCTCGCGGCTTGTAATCGCAATAAATATACTTTTTAAACACAGAGAAAAACTCGAGTCAACACAGAGGCTGAAAGTTTGTCTTGAAAACAAAGAGTTGGTGTTTTTAGGCCACACAACTTCTTGTGACAATCTGAACTGTGTAGACTCTAGTCTTACTGTATGTACATTGTCTATAGACTTAGGACTGGCTAAAATCTCCTTTTAGATCTTAAAGCTAATAATTTTGAAAACTACCGAGAGAAAATTGGTAAATTAACCGGCTGATTTCAGACTTCGATGAAAAAGTGGATCAGATGTTTGTTTAAATATGGATCAAGTGTTCAGTTACCCTTTGTAGCAGCTCAAGTTGTCTAAATATACATATATAAAAGAAAAAGGAAATGAAATAGAAGTGAACGTCCAACTTCTCCTGTTTGAGCTAAAGATGCACTGTGCAATGAGATTATAATCAAAAATCAAAATCTAATGTGTGTTGCAAAAACCACTAAAAACGTGTTTGCAGCAGAAAACGTCTTCATGTATCTATGGTGCCAGCAAACTTTGATCATCAAATTAATGCTATTCGGAGCTTGATGCAGTAATATTATTTGTAAAAAGAAAGATGTTTTGTTTCGTGATTTGATTCACAAATTGTAATCAGTGTATGTTTTGGGGCAGAGAATAGATAAATTGCACCTAATATACGAAAAAAAGGATCGAACGGATTGGAGGTCTTGCTTTTCTCCGATAATTTAACATCAAAGACACGCATACAGTGGCGTTTCTGCCTGGGGTCAGAAATGAGACTGACCCGGGTTTGCTAACCTCTCTCACTAGCAAACTTCATGTGTGTTGTTCTGAAACTTCATTGATTCAATGACCCAAACTCGGTCCCTACCTAATGATTAATGAAAAACGACTCTGAACGTAATTCTTCAATATACGACCGCCTTACTACTACCTTCTGAATTACGAGGTTTAAGGAGCAGACAACTCTATATATTGAACAACAATTCATACTTGTCTTTCTGTGACATAATCAAAACTAACGTAAGCTTTGTCACGTTTTTTAAAGATTTCACTCTTTTACAAACATTGTGATATTTCTGCCATTCGCTGACATCTTTCAGTTGACTTACACCCAACGACACGTTAATTTCGATCAAATAAATTTGTTCGATCGAAAAAAACAACTCTGCTCAATATTTTGTGTTCTAAATATTGTACTATATACTTAATTAAAAACCACGAATTGGTTTCAAATCTAGCGTGTTATTTTATAA